TTATCACCAGATATCACAAACTTGAAATGCTCCAATGAAAGCAGTGTTATTAATCAATGATCGGTTAATTCTATCTTGTGCTGATGTTTCTGTTTGAAGCCACAGAACCAGCTGTAACATCAGGATGACAGATGCTGTTCTAGTTGATCCTGACCTGATTTAACGTTTGCTGGTCGGAGGTCATGAAGCATCAGAGGACTTTGTCATGGAGTCCGTTTAGCAGCTAAACCCGACAGCGCTGCTTCTACCGGCTCTGAGAGCACTAAACGGTGAGAGGCTCCACCTGGTGGCGCTCTGGAGGAGCTTCTGTTCACAGTCTGACCTGCTGACCTGTACGTTAGTCACAACACTGAACGAAGCCGTGCAGTAACACCTGATCTCCTGTTAATGAAGCTGTTCAGGCAGCAGAAGTCCTTTTTGCACACTAGATATTTATTACGACACAGATTACACGTGTTTTATTACCTCTTTGTTTATTTTTAGTGTTTCTGTGACTTTGTGCCTTAAAAGTGCTGAATAGGACAGAAAACTGATCCGTCTGGTGGTGTTCAATGACAGAATATTCATCAATAACAACGACACTTATCGCTGTGTCTCCTTCACTCTGGGACAGTTTCAGGCCTGAATGTTTAAATGAAGGAAGTTGAAGGTTTCACAGCTTTAATGTTCAGCTGGAAGTTAAAGAAATAAACACATGAACTTTCAGCATCAACAGCAGCGTTCAGTGTAATTATCTTTAATGAACTCTTTATTATAAACGGCATGTTGCTATGATGAGGTCAGTGGCGCCTGATTGGTCCGTTTACTGCAGAACAAGAGTCACATGACGTGTTGAACCTTGACGGAGCTCCGAGTCTGAAGACAGAACTGTTACCGGCATCAACTGTTTCAGGTGTAGTCGAGCTGACGAGTTGAGCTGCTCTGATCTGTAAAACTCACCGAGTTTGACGGGGAACCCGGGGGGGAGCTTCATCTGGACAAACTCCCTGAGTTTATTAAAGTGCTTGAAGGGTGCGATGACCTCCAGAACATTCAGTAACCTGCAGAGAGGAAGCAGCACACGATCAGAATACAGACAGTTCAACAATAAACCTGGTTCAGAGGAACGAAGCTGAAGGTGTCAGGTGACCAGTGGTTCTCAAACTGGGGGTTGGGACCCCCATGGGGGTCCCAAGATAATTTCAGGGGGTCGCCAGATCATTGTGAAAAAAAGATAAAAATAAAGCCTACATTTATCAAGTAAATGTGTATTTGGGCTGTCAAAATTCAAAGTGTACACTTCTTCTCACTCCTTTTTTAAATTTGTTAATATTATGATTTGATTATAGGATATTAATATTCTTTTTTTGCTCTTTTAAAAATTGTTTTCTTTGTTTTTATATATTTTTTTCCCTTTCATTTGTTCAAAATAAATTCAAGTCATTCATTCATTTAAAATAAAATCAACGTGTTAATGTAAAGAGACTAATCTGTGGAATGAACACATTAACACATGAACAACAAAGTTATTACTCATGATGTATTAAGAATTCAAATCCGGGGGTTACAAACACAAACTTCTGTTATCTTGGGGGTCGTGGCTCCAAAAGTTTGAGAACCACTGATGTTGTAAACACCGAGGATCCTGTTACTTCAGCTCATCAACCATCAGCACATGAAGGAGAACACGAGAGGAGGAACTCACGATTCGATGCCCAGAGGGAAGTCCTGACTCATGGCTATCGTGGCTTTGAAGTTCTTCTTGCTCTCTTTGCAGACCAGCTCTCGGCCCAGATGAGGAGCTCTGAGACAAACAGCAGAACATCACCATGAAGTCCTTCCAGTGCTCAGAACAGACGTACAAACGTTTGGTGTTTTATTCTCAGACCAACACATCTATGGATGACGGTAACTCCACCGTCCTCCTGTCAGACACCTACTTCCCGTTGTCGGCCGTGATGTATTCCTCCCAGGATATAGTGTTGGGTGCAGGCGGAGTCAGAGATTGTCTCCTCGCCGGCTGAAAACAGAAAGAAATGAAAGAACATGAGTTGGAGGTGAAGACTAGAACCTCCAGTTTGGTGCGGAGCCACGTTTCTGTCTTGTGTTCGGTTCCTGATGTCAGTTTGAGCTTCTGTACAGTTTCATCGTTTTTAAACATAAATGGCTGTTTTCATGTCTTCAGTCGACGTCTTTAACCACTACCATCAACTGAACCAGCAGCTGAAGGTCTGTTGTGTCGACAGCACAAAGAGAAACTTGTCCTAGGATTATTTCCCAAACTGTACACATGTGTATTAAGCTCCGGACACTAGAGGGCGCCGACACATCACTAATGCAGCAATGTGGAACTACAACAGTTGGAGCTTGAACACCACTGATGACAGATGAAGTTAAACTGATGGAGTTCCTTCAGTTCTCCTCTAACAGACACATGAACACGACAGTTTACGCTTATCTCGGAGCGGTTCTCGTAAATAAAACAACCGGGTCGCTTCGTGTGATGATGAGTGAAGAACACAGCCGGCAGCATCCAAATACCAACTTCTCAATATTCATGGTTTTTCTTTGCATTAAATTCTGGAGCTCTTCTGGATGACATTTAAAATATTAATAAAAGTTTTGTACATTTGGGCAAACTGGGATGTGATCTGACTTCAACATTAAAGTCAAACTTCCTGAGTCTCCGTTGTAGTTAGAAAGTTCTGCAACATGATCCAACGTTTGTTCTTGTGTCTGGAGGTCAAACGTGTTCACTCTAAATATCATAACAGTTATAATTAAGAGTTTAAAATGGTTGTCTGAGGAACATTTCTTCCCAGTTTCTTGTTTTTCTTTGTTGATTTAAAACAGAAAAATGAGCCCGTGTTTGGTGTTTAACAGGAAAACAGATGAGAAGGTTCTGAAGTTCTACCAACGAGCAGCAGCTTCGTCCTCACGTGAAATAATCTGAGTTTCTCCCACTCGACCTTCTTGAACAAATGTTCTGCTTCAGTAGGTTTATTTTCGGATCAGGATGAGGTGTGAGGCGGTTTGTTGGGTTTAGATTTCTGGTTCTGACTCTGTGTTCTGACCCAGAGTCGACCGTCTGGTCTGCTGGTTCCATCCTTCCAGCTCTGAGGGCTTTAGCTTCATCCGTGCGATGAACAGCAGAGCTCAGAGTTTAAAGCCGTCGACGCTGAGCTGAATCCACAGAAAGACCTTCTGCAGTAAACAGATCCATCAGCTCGGCCCGGTTTCACACACAAGTTCTGTTCTGCTGCTCACACTTCATCCATGTGTTGTTAGCAGCCCAAACTAAGTTCTGTGAAGTACTTTGAGCATTTTGTGTTTTCTGATCTGTGAATTGTTGTATTTTCACCCTCAGAAAAACAAACTAACTAACCCAAAAAAAAACCATGAAGCCATTTTCAGGGTTCAGTATCTCCACAAACAAAACTCCAACAGACATGACGGTTGGTGGAGACTCAGACTGAAGAGTTTCATCAGATCAGAACGACTGATGGATCCGACAGAGGAAACATTTACGATTATTGGTTCTCTACTTCACCACATCAGGTTCTACTGATGTTAGAGCCTCAACAGTTGGTAAAATGTGACCAAAGACTGGACTTTAGTAGAACCATGGATCCATCCATAGATAGACACTGACAGGAACTTTCTGGATCAACACCAGCCTGGTTGGAACATTCTGCACCTTCTTCCATCTTCAAGGACCAATAATTATGCATTATTGACATTTTGGTCAGTTCTCAGGCTTTTTGGGCAGATTTCAAGTCAAAATAATAAAAAGTAGAACCATGACTGTCTTTTTTTTTCTTTTCGGGGCCCTTGTTTAAAAATGTGAACTCCCCCCCCCCCATTTTCAAGGTCCCATAATTTAAACTGTGTCGTCTGCTGGATCCATCCAGTCACTCTGATCTGATGGAAACTCTTCAGTCTGAGTCTCCACCAAGTTTCATGTCTGTTGGAGGTTTTTTTCTGGAGATGTTGAACACTTTAAACAGCTTCACAGGTAGGACGTTATTTGAAGGTGAAAATGTAAAAATTCCAGGTCTGAAAACAGGAAATTCTCTAAATTCAGCCCAAAACATTTGACAGAACCTGAGACGCTGCAGCAGAGTTCTGTCTGACTTCACCCCTCCTCCGCTCAGAAAGCTGAACTATTTCCACTGAAACTCTTCACGTCAACATGAGTCGGCAGTAACGGACCCCAGGACAAAGAACCGACAGACAACAGGAGCTCGGCGCCCAACAGAGGCACAACAAGTGAGCATTTAAAGGTTTGCATTGAGGGCAGAGTCTCTTTGTTCTGGGCTTTGTGCTGCGTGTTCAGACCGAAGCCTGCAGAGTAACATCTAGAAGCAGCAGAGCGGTGTGCACGGTGCAGGTGTCGCCACTAGGGGGCGGTGCAGGACTCACACATGCAGCAACGTGAGCAGGTTCAGTGACTGACGGCGACTTTTCATTCAGAAACAAATAAAACTTCAAAGAAACATCAGAGGGGACCCAGACAGGAATTTCTCCAATAAACCCTGCAAAGGTTCTCAGCTGCGTCCGTCAGGAAGTCAGTTTCTGCAGGATTTATGGCTGCAGCGGTGAGGAGCGGTGAGGTTTACGGCTGCACGACATCTCAAACACCGACTCTGGGATGTGCTGTCTCCTGTCATACTGAACAATACTGGAATGACTGTAATGAGTCAGGAGGCGAGTGCCGCTGCAGAGAAGATGTTTCTGATCCTGGAAGCCCAAATAAGATCGATAACATTTTACATGAATCCTCCAGAAGCCAAAGCACAAGAACTGGAGTCAAAGTGATCACATAAAGATGGAAAATTACACAAAATCAGAGCTGCATCTACCGATTAGCTTCACTGTGGATCGTTTTCTAGATGAAACAATCAGCTGTTTGATTTTAGTGTTTCCAAAAGTCCAAGAACGTCTCGTTTAGTCCAAAGAGCTTCAGTTTAAAGTCACAGAGGAGGAAAGAAACCAGAAAGTATTCACACTGAAGAAGCTGAAATCACAGAATTTAGACTCAAACTGATCGATCGGTCGTTGCAGCTCTGCTTTGGATTCATTCAGAGAATCAAAAGGTTTAAAATGGTCAGATTTTAGGTTTGGTTTAATTCTATTGCTTCACATCTCATTGCGGGTGCCGAGCCGACATCGTGCAGCCTGGTGAGGGTGACTTATGGAGCGGATCTGGTCCTACCCCGAGGGTCCAGCGGGACAGAACAGTCTCAGGACTGGACTGGTGGTTCCTCTGCAGGTACAACAAACATTATTACCTCTGCAGCCACCAGCCGGGTCTGATTCCTGCTAAAATGTTAATCTAACGTGTTACATCCTGGAAAAACCACCAAACTTTTATTTTGAAGGTAAAGATCCAGGAAGTAACCGAAACGAAAGCAAATTAAAAGCAGTAAAACACAAATAAAAGCAGGTTTTACTGCTCTGAGATAATAAACTACAGACCTTATAAACGCATAAAACACGGACTGTGGTGTGTAAAAACTAAAGCTGCTGCCTGCCGTCTTATTTTATCTTAAGTTTTAAAACCAGAACCTCGTCTGGTCCACCTTCACCACATCAGGTTCTACTGATGTTAGAGCCTCCACAGTGGGTGAAATGTGACCAAAGACTGGACTGTAGTAGAAACATGGATCCATCCATAGACAGACACTGACAGGAACTTTCTGGATCAGCACCAGCCTGGTTGGAACATTTTGCACTTTTTTTTTTTTTTACTTTAAAGGGCCAAACATGATTTGTTTTTCTAATTTTAGACAATTTTCATTGGTTTTGGACAATTTTCGAGTCACTTTGTGCAATTTTGAGCCTGCTTTCGACAAGCTTTATTTGATTTTAGCAAATTTTGAGTGGTTTTGGACTGATTTTGTTTAATTTTGGACAAGTTTCAGGCAGAATGCATAATTACTAATTAGATTTTATTTTATTTTATTTTTTTAAAGTTTGACGCCTTGTAGACAGATTGTCAGACATTTTTCACATATTCACAGGTAAAATGTGTTTCATAGGTGAAAATACAAAAATGTTTCAGTGTGAAACCATCTGAAGTTCTCTAAATTCAGCCAAAACCTTTAACAGAATTTAGTTTTATGTCCTAAATAATAGATAAGTGAACTGTGGGCAGATGGACGCTGTTTATTCAACTTCATTTAAAAGCAGATTTGTTAGATGAGAAAATAAGATAAAAAATGAACGCACAAGATCATCAGCGATTGAATTCTGCTCCTTTTCATTTAAATTTGAGAGATTACGACGTGCTTCTGGATGAAACTGCAAAAACAAGCAGCTCTGAAAACGTCTGAAATGATCAAAATTCAGCCAAAACATCTCCTAGAACTAGTTTTGTCACTGTTTAGATGTTTCTGAAGCTTGAACAAACTCTGAGTGGCTGCAGCAACATTTTTCTGACCCGGCTGACGTTACTGTGGACACCTTGCACCAATGGCTGCCTTCAGGTTTGGACCGGAGCTAAACGCAGACCTTCTGCCGACCGACTCACCTCGAAGTTCTGCTCGATGAGGTTTCCTCCTTTGCTCAGACTCTCCATGATGGCTTTGTTCCTCAGGATGTCCTCCTCGCTCAGGTGCTCTCTCCTCTTCCTGGACTCCAGAACCAGGCCGTTCACCGAGTAGAAGTCTGCCAGGAAGTTTCCCACGCGCTCCTGGAGGCAGAACAAACAGCCCGTAAGCCTCCCGCCGACTCACCAATTTCCCTTTAAAACACGCGTCAAAGGACAGAAAGCAAAACCCCCGAATCCCTCTGATCCTGTCTGTGTTGTTTTTAACCCGAAGCCCATCACCTGCAGTTATCTCTGCTGCTGTTATTCACCGTCTGTCCTGAACGCAGTGGAGACGTGAAGAGCAGCAGTGAGGGAGCGACAAGGTGCTGATCTACCTCCTGACTGAAGACGGAGACGTTCCAAAAATACAGAACATAAAACTGAGTTTAGCTCATTCCTGGTGTATTGATAGCTCATCTGAGATGGTTCATTCAACATA